GGTGGGTGGGGGGGCAACGACTATATTCCTAGATGGGCCAAGTGCGGCCCACTACGGGCCTGGCATAGCTCGTGGACCTTTGTGCCATGCCATACTGGGCCACTGGCGGCCTGGCCCGATTTACACCTCTACCCTCAACCCATACAATAAAACGATTCTCTCCAACTCAAATCCACCACATGGAAGGCTTAAGAGGAAAAAGAAACGTAAACACTAAATGATATCAGTAAAACAGGAAGCTTATAAATAATCTTCACGAAGCAGCTTTTTAATGTCATTTGGAACATTCTGCAATGAGCTCAACAACTGAAACGCCCCATCGTCTATCCATGTCCTTTGCCAGAAATCTGCAAACCAGTTTCTTTCCCCCAAAGTATGACTAAAATGAAGATACATACCTAAACCTCCTTATTTAATGCTTAGAAAACTCAAAATTGGACTTGGATACCTGATATGAAGAATTTATACTTAAAGGCCAGGTCTTAGGCCAAACTCACTCAAATTAATGCTTAAGCTTAACTTGATTGCACCCCCTATATGTGTATAGTCATTAATTAATGCATTGCAAGGTTCAAAATATCAATATGCCGATATCTATGCTTTTTTTTTTTTTTCAAAACCTGTTCAGGGGACTGATTTTGGGCTCCTGGGCCAATGTCGATACTTTGAACCTTATGCATACTTAATTGAATATCCATCACTAAAACTTTAGCCACCTTAAATACCCCTTTAATCTTTACTATATAATACTGGTACTTGCATTCACGCCAGACAATTAAACACTTTAGTTCATTTTATTTTCTTCTCTCCACTATCTGCTCTCTCATCTTTCACATGCCCCTCAACTAGTATTTGATAAATGCTAATTCCACTCTCATGAGTAGGATTGGGGAACTAGTCTTTGCTTCAATTTACATGTATAATGCATTCAAGGAAAATATTAACATGAATTATTAAAACTTGAAAAGTCAATTTCATTCCTCATGATATTTGATGTAATACTACCCAAATGAAAAATTGAATTCATATAGCCCGTATAAATTCATTTTGAGAATAATATCATCAATCCGACGCTATTCTCCCTAGATTTCTAGTTCTGTTCTAACTAGACTCATCTCTTGGATGCAAATACATCAAACATATGATGGCCAAAGCAGGCTCCACGCTATCTGTCAAATAAAACCCAACTATGTTTCTTTTGAAGCAGCAGCAAACAAATTCTCAATTCAGAATACCAACATAGTTGAAACAAAACCACAAGAGATTTTCCATTTCATCAGAAAACGTAAATTTACTAATCTTTATGTCATTTTCATCAGAAAACAAACTCCTTTTGGGTGCTAAATCTGGTTTTGGCATTAAATCAAACAAGTTCTATACAATTTTCGAATATTTCTTTATAGAACCTCAACCCTGCACACAAAAATACATTCTTACCCCATTCTCTACATGCTAATACGAAAACAAATTCATCAGGCTAAATGGAAGTATTACACCATTTATTCTAACTAGAGATTTCAATAGCCTTCACTTCAGGCCTTCTCGTCTCTTCCTTAGGAACAGTTATAGTAAGAACCCCATTCTCCATCGTCGCCTTCACCTGGTCCACCTTGGCATTCTCCGGCAACCTGAACCGACGAAGGAACTTGCCGCTGCTGCGTTCGACGCGGTGCCACTTATCGCTCTTCTCTTCGTGTTCTCTGTTGCTCTCTCCACTGACTTGTAAGACTCTATCTTTTTCCAGTTCGACTTTCACTTCTTCCTTCTTGAGCCCAGGAAGGTCAGCTTTGAAGACATGGACTTCTGAGGTCTCCTTCCAATCGATGCGTGCATTGGCGAATGCTGCCGTCTCAGTTGTGAATTGAGGGCTGGTGAGAGCACTGCCGAAGGTGAAGTCTTGGAATGGATCCCAGATATCCATAGAGAAGGGATCGAAGAGGTTGCTTCGTCGGCCACCGAAGATGCTAGGGACGATCGACATATCCGCTTCTGGGTTTCTGTTGAAAACGGAGAAAATAGTGACAGAGAGAGAGATTGAAACGCTTGCTAATGCTAGCTAGCAACTATGAGCGGAAGCCTTTGAATTTGAAGTGTGCCGGAAAATTTCACGATGCAGAGGTGGTGGGATTCGTTCTGTATTTATAAAGAAGAAGAGGAAGACTCTCGTAATTTTGAGAAATTTCTGTATATGTTTCCAGATTTTCTTATTTTTTAGGAACATTCTCGCTCCTTCTCGTCAATCACGAACGCTCGCGAAGAAAAACATGGGGCCCACGGATACCAAAGGGGCAATTGGGCTTCTACAGTGATACAAATACAGCTCGAATATTTTACATGGATTTCAATTTTAGGCCCATTTATAATTTGATATGGGCCCAATGAATCAAGTCGAAGCCCACGCAACATAGAACTAATATACTACTTCTCATCTGGTTACATCATTATACTACTTCATCTGGTCCACAGGTCCAACCCTCAGGTTATCTGGTTCGACCATTTCACTCGCTCAAATTTGAATTGTAACATAACAACAAACAGCAAGTAATAAATGGTTACAGTCATCTTTTAATACCTATTTTAAATAAAGAATAAGCTTAAAATAGTATATATGGCTCGGTTCATAAGGGGCAAGTGGGCAACCATCCCATAAACTCTAAGCTCTTTTATCTACTAGATCCCCTGTGCAGATAATCTCATTTCTTAATGGGCTCAGTTAAGCTTGGCACAACTCATTAAGGGGGAGTTGTTTTTTTTTTTTTCTTGTCTGAGCTTAAAAAAACAAAGATTCTATACCTGATGTTAAAAAAAAGCATTGATTACAAAAACATAGAAAACATGCTCTTGGTTCTGTGAAGTATTTCTTGTTTCCAAATCGGAAACCATGAATGTTTTATTGAATTGGTGGTTTTAAAAATACATATTCTCTTGTTTGATATTATGTTTCATAAGACAAATAATAATTTTGATTAAATGAATATATAGAATACTCCCTAAGCTTTCACTTTGTGAGAAATACCCCTTGGGTAAAAAAAGTTCTTATTCAGCTGTTCTAAAATTTTTAAACATCCAAACTACCCATTTTCTTATTCATTTGAACTATGACAAAAACCCTAAAGTCGATGGGTTCAAAAGTTGGAAATGTACTGCTCATCAAGAAAGCGTCTGATACACACCAATAATTTTTGATAGGTAAAAAAAGTACAGTATTAACAAAAAGATGCAACAAACTGTTCAATACAAGAGGGAGGGCGGCTCCATAAGACAAACTTCCTTCTGAAAGCTTAGAAAGCTGAGCAAATTAATGAGCCGCCCAATTCATAGTTGTAGGAATATAAACAAATTTAACAGTATAACAAGAACTTTTAAGAGAGCATATACAGTCATATATAACCAAGGTAGTTCCCACGAAAGAGACGGATAACCAGATTCCAAAAAAGAAACCACATTCTTTGCATCAAGAAGAATTAAAATACGCCTCCAGTTGTTAGAACATCCCAGCAAAAGAGCCACAAAAACAGCAAAAAGTTCAGCTAGAACTGTGTTCCCTCCAAGCCAACATAAAAGATTTGGAAGAATAAAAAACACAAATACCACAAGAAACTCCCAAATCAGAGATAACCCCGCCATGACATTTGATAATAACATCAAAGTCAGAGAACTGAGGGAGAAAACAAGTTAATCCTCCTGTCTGGAAAGAGGATTGAGAGTGATAATGGAGAGCCTTGAAGGTGGAGTTGGGATTGTGTGACATAGACATATGCTAAATAGCAGAGAAGTGAAAACATGTTCTATATTTTGTAGCTTTGTAGGCAATTTTTTGTTGATTGCAAGAACAAAGTAGTTTCTCAGAATCAAACTGAATGTGTTTTCACTTTATACTTTCAAAAGGTACACATTCTAGATCGTTTTTATGTTTTTTGCCAGCATGGCATTTCTTTTATTTTCTTCTTTTGATAGGTAAAAGATACACATTCAATTTGGCCAGATAATGGGTCAACCAGTCCAACCTGCATTCCATTTTACTCCTTCCAAACAAACAATCTCGCCTCTACTTCCATTTTATCTGATCATTTATAAATGGGGTGCTGTCAAATCTCAAGTGTCAATTGGTCAGGTCAGGGTAAACTCAAAATCTGACACTATAAGTAAATGTGCAGAATGCAGAACTAGTTCTCACCTAGTTGCTAAAAAGAAGAAAAAAAAAATCAAATAACCTAAAGAGTTACCTCAAGGTACAGATGCAGACAAGAACTTTTTTGGGAGGATCACACTACCCCAGGAGATGATGTTTTTTTGGTGACTTCCAGGAGATTTTCCATGTTCTATAACACAAAAGCTGTCCTAGTATTACATATACTGCTAGTAGGAGTACTTGCAACTCCATTGTTCTTCCTAGTGCATTGTGGTAGGCACCAGCAAAACTAGATACCACATTTCCTTTAGCATCCATGTTCTTCTGAAGATTATCCAGTAATGTACCACTGAAAGGTGAAACAACATAAATTTGTTTGAAGAAGATATCCTGAAAATTATTTTGATATGAAAAGTTGAATTCATATAACATGTAAGAAACATTTTGAAAATAATATCAATCCTAAGCTATCCTCCCTATATCTCTCATATTGTTCATACTAAATACTTGTGCAATAACGTATGGACAGCACTCAAGCACAATGTTCTCTTGGAACCGTCTTCTTCCACTTAAATCCCATGTTTAAACATCATTAAAGAGATTTCAAGGTACCCGCACCAAATCTGCCATCCCTTTCTATTACTACTAAAACAATAAGAACAAGACAGAATTACAACAACATGACCAAGTATGCAGAAAGGTTTCTAAATATGCAGATGTGTAATCCTTTTGAGGAAGCAGATATGGTTCAAGTCAATGACTATTCTTACAGATAAGATTTACTACCAAATGCTGCTTATTCATCACAAACGCACCTAATGCATAAGAACTTACCTTTAAAACCTTTAGACAGGAAGGAAATCAAGAATTCACCATCATCATGACCAGAAAATTGCAGCCCCAAAAGATTATAACTTCTATGATCTGATTTTTCTCAGCCATGCAAGGAAGCAGTGTCCAATTTCCACTTCTAGCAATCATCCTAATAAGTAATAACCTACTGCAATTCTCTGAAATTCATAACACAATTCTGAGCTTAAATAGCTCCTCTCTGAGTTACGCAATTTTTCTCCTAGATGCAAAGGACATGGTTCTGAACTGACCCTAAAACAATCTTGTCCTTATGAACATGTTCCAGAGGAAATACTTGATTGAACAAAACTTCTAACAATAGGAAGCAAAGGCCATGAGCATTTTTCATATAGCATTTACTGCATCAGGCATGACGCCATTTCAGTCTTAGTAGTTGGTGCAACTCTCTAATTCCTAAACAAACCGAAGTCATACTAATAAGCACTGAATACAAAGATGAATTATTTAAATGTAAGTGCAACAATATATGAGAGTCCATAAAGGTTACAGATCTTCTCCTAGTTACATCGGAAGAAAACAATTAATGATTGAAGCTACAAAAATCCTCAATTGCATAGAAAAATAACACAATTGAACTGAAGCAACTATATCACTTTTCCATTTCATATAAAAAAAAATTGAATGGTAAATTTGGTTAAACATTAGATCAAACAAGTTCTATACAATTTATACGTTTTTCTATTCATGCTGAGTCCTGCACATAAAACATCATCTCACACCATTGGTAAATGCTACAATGCATTCATCACGCTAAATGGAAGTATTACACCGTTTATCCTAACAAGAGATTTTTATAGCCTTCATTTCGGGCTTTTTTGTCTCTTCCTTTGGAACAGTTATAGTAAGAACTCCATTCTCCATCGCCGCTTTCACCTGGTCCACCTTGGCATTCTCCGGCAACCGGAACCGGCGAAGGAACTTGCCGCTGCTGCGTTCGACGCGGTGCCACTTATCGTTCTTTTCTTCGTGTTCTCTACTGCGCTCCCCACTGATTTGTAAGATTCTACCTTCTTCCAGTTCGACTTTCACTTCTTCCTTCTTGAGCCCAGGAAGGTCAGCTTTGAAGACATGGGCTTTTGGAGTCTCCTTCCAATCGATGCGGGCATTGGCGAATGCTGCTGTCTCAGTTGTGAATTGAGGGCTGGTGAGAGCACTGCCGAAGGTGAAGTCTTGGAATGGATCCCAGAAATCCATAGAGAAGGGATCGAAGATGTTGCTTCGTCGGCCACCAAAGATGCTTGGGATGATCGACATCTTTACTTTTGGGTTTCTATTGAAAATGGAGAAAATAATCAGTCACAGAGAGATCGAAACGCTTGCTAGCTGGTAACTATGAGCGAAAGAGAGCTGGAAATTTTCACGATGCAGAAGTGGTGGGATTCGTTCGGTATTTATGGAGAAGAAGAGGAAGACTGTCGTAATTTTGAGAAATTTCTGTATGTCTCTAGATTTTCGTATTAGGAATAGTGGGAACATTCTCGTTCCTTCTCACCGATAACAAACGCTCGCTCGCGAGAAAAAATATGGGGCCCACCATAATTGCTTCCCGTGATACAGATGGATATTTTACATGGATTTGAATTTTAGGCCCATTTATAATCTGAAACCGGTGACTCATAAGTACGTGGAATCGGTAATAAATTGATAGCTTTTCTTGTTATGATAATTAGAGGGTTGATGATTAATGAGATTGATAGAATGTAGTCAGATTATTTTTGTATTTTTAGCATTATTTTATGAATGGATTGAAAATGGTAGAAGTAGGTTGTGAGCTTTAACTTTCCAGAAAAATGAGAAGAACATGAGTCTGAATGGTGGGGAGCTGTAGCCGGGTAGTGGGTTATAGGCTTTAACTGAAATTTATTTGAAATTGCCACATGTCTAGTTTTCTAGAAAATTAGAAATCCACTTGTCTAAATTGTGGTAGTGGGGTGTGGGCTTTAAGAACTCCTCAGAAAATGACACGTGTCTAAATTTGAAAAAACCAAGTGTCTGAATGGTGGGGGCTGTAACCTTAAAGCCTTCCTTTGATTTATATATTTTATTTAAATTTCACTATTTACTTAATAATTATATTTATATATAAATTAAGAAATTGAATTACAAAGATTTAGCTAGTGAATGGCCCCATACTATGTATAGGAAAATTCACTAAAGTTTGATTTCCAACATTTGTATTAATTGTTTAGTCATTTTTATTATTTTTTAATCATTTTAAGCTAATTCATTATTTAATAAATTTGTAATAGTTTAAGCACATTTACGAATTTTTAATCTATCTTAGTAGTTAATTAATATTTTTTGTTATTTAATAATATTATTAACTATTTTAGTAATCAATGAAATATTTATTTAAGATTATTCCTTTTATAATATTGACTTAATTAATTATTTAAAGAATACTATTATTTTTAATTAGTGATTTTTATAATTGTTATTATTGTTCTTATTAATAATGATTATTATTGTAAAGCAAATTGGTTTCCAACCAAGTATAATAATTATTTCTTCTATTTGTTAATTATTATTTTGCATTTATGAATAATCATTAATGATTATTATTAATATTATTATTTATTATTTATAAATATTGATAACTAATTAATGTGTACAAAAGAAGTAGTGCGACCCAGTATTCTCAGTTGAACCGTTGTCTTCTCAGGCAACGGTTTGTGCGAAACTCGACCATCAGCGACGTCATCAACAATGATAGTATGACCTTCCCGGCCGCTGGAGACCACCCATAAGTGATTGCCGGTGGTTGACGATCTCATCTAACCTTAAATAAGAGACAGTGGTTGCTTGTATTTAAAAAAAAAAACACCTCGTATCTGGCTTCCTATACACTGGTCGTATGAACTTCCCGGCCACCAGTGACCACCCATAAGTGATTGCCCATGGCCAACGATCTCATGTAACATTAAAGAACAACCGGTATTTGTTTGTATTAAAAAAACAAACGGCTCAGATTCTACCTTCTTCTCAGGCATGGATTTTCAACAGAGCCGCCGTATTCTACCTTGATATGATCCTCCCGGCCACTGGTGTTAACCCATAACTGATTACCAGTGGTCGGCGATCTCATATACATTATAATAGTAGTTGTTGGTCGATAGTAATAAAAACAAAAACATCTGGTTTTCTTCTCAGAGGGCCCTATTTTCTCCGGTAATGATTTGGGCCGACAATTGCTATTTGCTATTCCCCTCTTGGCTACCAGCGGGTCACATAGAAGTTTCTTGGTTGCAGTTTTGATGCAGGGGGTGCTGTTGAGTTTGTTGGAACAAATGTTTTGAAATTCAAATAAATGTTTTGACATGAGATAGAATTCATGAGACAAAGATTGCGAAAACAGAGTTCTAACGTGATAAAATAAATGAAACACAAAATTGAAACATGTTTGCCAAAACTGAAACTCAAAGCTCTATACATATAAGATAAAGGGAGATGAAATGTAAAATTACCTAAGTGGTTGAAGTTGCAAACATCCAAGTAAGAATTCCAATGAAGTGAACTTTTTGGAGAAGATCGTATGCAAAGACTGTGGAGACTGGAGTAGAATTTAGAGTTTGAAACTGATAGATTGAATGAGAATGTAGGTTTCTGGACGTGACTTGGAGTCTAACATGTACGTGGGGATGAGTTGGTTGCAACAGAATTTTTTAATTTGTCTCCTAAAATTAAGTTCTCATAAGATACATGGGTTTGAAAAGACAGGCATTGGAGGAGGGCCATGTGTCTCATTGAGTAAGGCTTTTTGACATGAAAACCTTCCTATATATATATTTCATCTGGTCCAGGGTCCAACCGTCAGATTATCTGGTTCGACCATTTCACTCGCTCCAATGAGAATTGTTAGTTTATAACAAAACAACAAAATAAATGGTTACAGACTTGTCTTTGTAAACCTATTTTAAATAAAGAAAAGAATAAGCTTAAAATAGTCAAAGGGGCAACCGTCCTAGCTGCTAGTTCCCTGTGCAAATAATCTCATTTCTTAATGGGTGGATCAACTCTTCAACTCTTTAAGGGGTAGTTGCTTTTCTTGTCCTGAGCTTCAAAAATGTTTCACAAGGCACAAATAACGATTCTGATTGAATGGATACTACTACTAGCATGGTTTTCAAAACCAGATCGGACCAGAAAAAGTGGGAACAATCAATTCCGTTTTATCCCAGAACCGTTATTTCGCCAAAAACTGTTGATTTGGTCAGTACACCGCTGATTTGGGCAGTCAAACTGTTCAACAGTTTTGGTTGTTTTTTATTTATTTTTTATTTTTTTGTTAAAACGGGCCATCTGTTCGATTCGAACAGTCGGACCATTCAACCCAAGAACTGGACCCTTAACCAGTTTGTTGTCCGATTCAGTTTTAAAAACCTTTACTACTATCTCACCTTTCTTATTTTAACATTTTATATTTTTATTAATTTATACATTTGGATTCAAATCCATTTAAATGTGGGTTGATATGATCCATAAAAGCTTTGAACAAGTGCTAGTTAGGGCTATTTATCAAACTAATAAAACCAACCAAATGAATTAACCCAACTCAATTTGACTTGAGTTGGTCGGTTTTCTAGAATTTTTGAATAATTTTGGTTCTACAATTTCCCAATCCAATCATGTCAGGTGGGTTTTGGTTAGGCCATTTGTTAATTGATCAAAATCAAACTAACCCAACTATAAATCTATATTAATATTTTATATTTTTAAATTTAAATTTTTAATATAGGAAAGTGGGAAATATTCCCATATTTCCTAATTTAAAATATTTTTATATTGTAAACTTACATTTTTAATTTATTTTTTATTAATACCATTATAAATTTTGAATTTAATTTTTAACTTTAAATCTTTTGAGCCAATTGATCAAACTGAAAACCAATCCAAATCGATACAACCCAAACTGGCTAATTTTCACTAATGGTCGGTTAGTTTCGGGTGACTAAATCCCCAACCCAACCCGACCAGGCCAATTCGATTGGCTAAACAACCTGCAATCGAACCAAACCAACCAGTGAACACCACTAATGCTAGTAATATGGTATACATAATATTATGGTATGTGTATAATAAAGTTTTGGGAAAATAACATAGACCCTTTGAACTTTCATTTGCAAACTTGCCCGAGCTTTCACTTTGTGACAAATACCCCTTCATTAAGAGTTCCCTTAGGCTATGTTTGGTTTGAAGGAAAAGGTAAGGAAATGAAGGAAAAGACAAGGAAACCAATACAAGGGTTTGTAAAGGTTTTCCTGTCTTTCCCTTCCTTTCCCCACATTTTCCTTCAAACCAAACATAACCTTAATTAACTTGGAAAAAAATTCTCATTCAATTAATTTTTTAATGTGTGTGCCACATACTAAGGTGGTGTTGTGTAATATAGTGAACCCACGAAATACTGGGTTTCAAAACACACCACACCACTCTAATGCATTCTGGTTTAAAACCCACTATATCATGGTGTGAACTACACCACACCCCAAAACATTGGCCACGCCATTATCTCATGGTCACAATCACACCACATGCCTCTTTCCTTATCCAGTACTTTGCATGTGTAATAAATTATACATTTTTTTAAATTTTTATCTTATATTTAATTAATAATATTTGTCTTACCATTACAATTGTTATTAATTGGTATTCAAAATCAGAATTTGACTTTGTTATGTTTTTACTAATTTTAATATTCTAAATTGATTTATTGTTAATTATTTATCTTGAATATTAATTCTCTATGTGTGTGTTATATATTTTTATATTATTTTTAATTTTTTAGTCATTATTAAATTTTTTTGAATTCACCCGTTAACTTTTTATTAATTTGTATTAGCTATATTTAAATTGATCAAATATTAAATTAATTTGTATTTTGCTTAACAACAAAAAATATTACTCTTGGCGGATGTTGTAGATCATCTCGTAGTGTATCCAAGATATATACAATCAAAATAGAAGGGTAAGCCTGAACCACACCACACCCTACAAAACACCTATATGGGTGGGTGTGGTGTGGTTAGGCTACCTAATTTTTTCCTTAGCATGGTGTATTTTCAATTACATTACACTACAGGTGTGGTGTAATGGAGAAATGTAATTAAAAATATATCATCCAATTTCTCACCCACACTATCTAATACATTCTATATTTTGTAACTTTATAGCCACTTTTTTGTTGATTGCAAGAACAAAATTGTTTTCCAGAATCAAATTGAATGAGTTTTCACTTTATACTTCTAAAAGATATATATTCTATACGGCTTTTATGTCTTTTTTGTGCCTGGCATTTCATTTTCTTTTTTTATTCTTTGGATGGGTGACTGGAAGGAAAACAATAATACACCATCATCATGACCAGAAAATTGCAGCTTATTGATACTTCTATGATCGGATTTTTCTCAGCATATGACTCAAATACAAAATGCAATTGATGTGTTCACTATTAATGTTCTTCAACCAGGTGTCCTCCTACTCCTACTGGAATCCTCTGAAATTCATGACACAATTCTGAGCTTAGATAGCTCATCTGTGAGTTTCCCCTGGATGCTAAGGACATGGTTCTGAACTGGCCCTAAAATAATCTTGGCCTTATGAACATGTTCAAGAGGTAGGAAATACTTGATTGAACAAGACTTCTAACAATTTTTTAACAAACCGGAAAGCCAAACTAAGAAGCACTGAATACAAAGAAGGAAAACAATTAATGATTTTTTTTTATCAGTGATGAAAACAATTAATGATAACACAATTGAACTGAAGCAATTATTATATCACTTTTCCATTTCATATAAAAAAAAAAAAAAACTGAACGCTAAATTTATTTAAACATTAGATCAAATAAGTTTTATACAATTTATATACTTTTCTATTCATGCTCAATCCTCCACATAAAACATCATCTTTCACCATTTTGTAATTTTACGATGCATTCATCAGACCAAATGGAAGTATTACACTATTTATTCTAACTAGAGATTTCAATAGCCTTCACTTCCGGCTTCTTTGTCTTTTCCTTTGGAACAGTTATAGTAAGAACTCCATTCTCCATCGCCGCTTTCACCTGGTCCACCTTGGCATTCTTCGGCAACCGGAAACGACGAAGGAACTTGCCGCTGCTGCGTTCGATGTGGTGCCACTTATCGTTCTTCTCTTCGTGTTCTCTGTTGCGCTCTCCACTGATTTGTAAGACCCTACCTTCTTCCATTTCGACTTTTACTTCTTCCTTTTTCAGGCCAGGAAGGTCAGCTTTGAAGACATGGGCTTCTGGAGTCTCCTTCCAATCGATGCGGGCATTGGCGAATGCTGCCGCTTCGGTTGAGAATTGAGGGGTTCTGAGAGCATTGCCGAAGGTGAAGTCCTGGAATGGATCCCAAATGTCCACAGAGAAAGGATCGAAGATGTTGCTTCGTCGGCCGCCGAAAACGCTTGGGATGATCGACATCTCTGCTTCAGGGTTTCTGTTTGAAATGGATAAAATAAAAATAGTCAAGAGATATTGAAACGCTTGCTAACTACGAGCGGAAGCCTTTGAATTTGAAGAGTGCTGGAAGATTTCACCGTTTCACGATGCAGAGATGGGGGATGCATTCGGTATTTATAGAGAAGAAGTGGAAGCCTCTCGTAATTTAGGAATATTTCTGTATGCTTCGAGACTTTGACAATTCGATAACATTCTATGATTCTATAGTTCCTCTTTTTTCCCTGAGCCAACGTTCTAGCTCCTTCTCAGTTCTCACCAATCACGAACGCACGCGAATATATCATATATGCCCATTTGGCAGGGCTTTCACTGAGCGGCTTCTGGCTTTGCACGGTGGGCCCGATGCACCCGGAAAGCTCAAGTAGCTTTCACTCGGTGCAGATACTAGGGGTGAGCATTATTCCGTCAAAATTTTGGTTTTAATTTTTTTGAGTTTTGAGTAATTCGGTTCAGTTAATTCGCTTTTTAGGAATTTTAGTTTTTGGTTTCACTTTTCAGAGTTAGTAATTCAGTTAACTGAAAAAATCGAATTAATTGAAATTTATTATATAATATATAATATATTTTATAGGTTATAATATATAATATATAATATACAATATACAACATATAATATATAATATGCTATATATTTATATATTAATGTATTATAATGAAATTCAATTTCATAATATATATTATAAGTTATAATATATAATATTATATATATATATATATTAAATTCGATTTTTAATCAAAAATCAAATCAAAAACTTTGGTTTCAGTTATTTCGGTTTTCTTTTAATTTGATTTTGATTTATTTGGTTCAGTTTTTAACCGAATAAATCGAATGTTCACACCTACCAATGACCATCCAATGAAACTTCTCATTCTAATAGCTTCTTTAAAGCCACTCTCAATTAGACTTGTTTATGGGCCGGGTAGCTAGACTGCTCGGCCTACGCCTTGGTTGGACTTGGACATGTAGTTAGGCCCACGGGCCCAAAACACCAAGCCCGATTGTGTTTTAGGCCAGGCTCGGGATTTGTCAAAAAAGCCCTGCTTGATTAATTTATATAATATAAAATATATAATATTTAATATATACCATTTTTTTCTTTATAATTTTTCTCTCTCTCAGCAATAATAGCGGTATGACCTTTAGGCTTTGGGTTCGGGCTTTGGGCTTTTTATGAGACCTAGGCTCGAGCCTTAAAAAAATCTATTAATAAAGAGTGAAAGCCCGGCCTGACCCGGCCCATAAACATGTATGCTCTCAATCAACCCTTTAGGCCTATTTGTGTTCTGATATGGGTCCAATCACCAATGAATGAGTCTAAGCCCACATAAGGCACAACTAATATAAGGGATGTATGTCTCTGGTTCCATCATTTATCCTACCTCATCTGGTTCGTAGGTCCAATCGTTTGATTATCTGGTTCGACCATTCCACCATTCAAATAAAAATTGTAATAAAACAACAAAAAACAAGTAATTGTTGGTTATAAATCATCTTTCAAAACTAATTTAAATAAAAAATAAGCATAGGTCTTTATTTAGGTAAAACCTTTCAAAACAATGGAAAGGAAAGGTAGGAAAACCAAACACAGCCCAAGGGAGTGTTCTCTAATATGAATATTTTTGCTTGTTGTGAGAAAGGTCCAAAAGTTTGATATCGTGTGCCCTGTATCAGGCATATTGTATTGTATCAGTAATTTTCCGAAACCCTAAATAAAGGATGTTTTGGAATTTGACCACTTTCAGGGGTAGACAAGCTTAAAAGGCTAAAACCGACCCTTGAAATAATTTAAAAAACAACAAAAAAAGTTATTTAAGTATTGAAACACTCGATACGCCTGTTATGGGCATATTTATACTTTAAACCATGGTTATGAGTTTTAAAACAAAGGTTTCATACTGGGTTTTCTAATTGTTCCTTGTTGTATGGTGAATTTCTTGTTTCCAAAGCTGAAACTAGAAACGTTTTCTTGAATTTCTAATTTTAAAAACATATGTTCTCTAGTATTTGATATTATATTTCAGCACAAATGGTGGTTTTGGTTAAATGAATACCAAGTTCATCTTTCTTCTTTCTATTATTTCTTCTTTATTTTTATACATTGTTTTCAAATCCATTTAAATGTGGGTTGGTACGAGAAGAAAAACTTTAAATCAGTAATCCTGCGTTTGGGAAAAAATGCAAATGGAGTGTAAATCTTGCTTCAGGGTAAATTTGCACTCTGGTTCACTTTTACCTGTGTTTGGTAACATTACATTTATGATTGACAAATAACAGATCAATCCATAATTACATTGATAATAAGATGTAAAAGTATACCAATAAAAAATAAGTAAATTTGCATTCAAGTGGGCTTTTGATAAAAAAAAAGCATATGCTTTATTGGAATTCATGTTTGCATCCATTACAGCTAAAAGTCTTTTTGGTAAGAAGATAAATTTGTAAGTACAAAATTAACCCAATCTTACAATTTATATGAACAATTTTACACTCTACAAATTTGCATTCAGACTTATTTACATTTTTTCCAAACGCAGCTTAATAGGGTGTATAGAACAAAATTGTTTTGTTTTTAATAACATTTTTGTTGGTTGAAAGAACACAATTATTTTTTCAGAATAAAATCAAAAGCCTTTTCACTTTATTTTTAAAAGATGCACACTTAAGAGTGTGGTAATGTTTTTTTGCCAAAATGGTATTTCCTTTTCTATTCTTTTCTTTCTCTAGGTAAAAACAAACTTCTATTTAACTATAGCTTCAAAGTTGAAAATATTTACAAGCCAACTAAGAGGGACGACTTGCCAGCAAAAATAAATCACAACCATGTTGCCCTGTCTAGTATCATGTTTAATCACAACAGAAGTAGTCAGGATATAAAGAGTAAGGGTTCACTTAGTTTGTAGTTGGAATCGGAATCCCGTAAATCAGAATCCTATTCCCTTATCTGTTTGGTTTAGATAGGAATCGGAATCGGATTCTATAAGATATGTACAAATCTCGAGAAAGATTGGATAAAGCGAGATAAGATTTGAGAGGGTTTTAAAGTCACTCACCTCTTTTTTTTTAATTTTTTTTGCTGAAATGAGATTCTCATTCTTAAAGGGAGGTTGGAATGGCTATTCCCTCAAATGTGGGAATACCATTGCTCCAAGAATAGAAATCAAAATCCTATTCTGCCCAACCAAACAGTTGGAACCATTCTGATTTTGATTCCAAATCCCTATTCCATTGATCGAAACAGACCTTAAAGTCAGAATATAGAGAGATTCAATAGAGTCTAATACATTTCCTACAAGATCAGGCTAGCAAACTAGCTATTTCCAAAACAACTTTTTTTTTGAAAGGTCTTTCCAATTGAAGCTTTGCATTCCCTTGCTAACAATAAAAACAATGGAATATCAATTGAAGAACTTGAGTGGGCTCGTGTTGAGAAGTTGATAGAATTTGAATTGGCCCATTCCAAAAGCCTAGGCCCAGTGCTGTGTACATTCTTTAAATCAGGTACTCAATTTGGGGTTAACTTTGGCTGTTGGGGGCCAACAGTCCTTCCTGTTGAGAGAGTTTGTGGGTTGGACATGTTCACTGCAATTCACCAATTTACAGGTTTACTCAAAATAAATCAATGGACAATTACTAAATTGTCCACTTTCATGATAACGTGTCGAACCTAGAAACTCTCTCAACAAGAAAGGCTGTTGGCCCCCAACAGGCAAAGTTTTTCCCTCAATTTAGAGTTAGGTTTAGGAGAATATGATGGCTGTTTGGTGTTCAGCGGGCTGTGGAATCAATTATAAGGTTCCATGCCAATAAAAAAATACATGGCATTTACACTTTTTATAGTGGGACCCATGAATTTATTACTGGCGTAGAATTTGATTATTGGTTCCACAGCCCGCTGAACAGTCATTGTGTTCAGTTAATTCGAATTTCTCAATTTGATCTTCTACCATTTATTTTCTTTTTCTTCATCAAGGTTCAATGTATTCATACACCCAATACCATTTAGTTTATTCTACAAAAAATAAAAATAAAAAAAAAAACATTTAGTTTCTCTTTTAATTTTTCAAAATTGCTTCAAGGGTCAGTTTCAGGCATGTCTACCCCTGATACTACTCAAAATCTGAAACATTTCATCATAAAAAAAAAAAAAAAAAATCTGAAGCAATTCTTATTGGGGTTTCGGTGAACTGCAGATATGATACTAGTCGAAATTTTGAACCTTGCTCTTCATTATCTCCACTATCTGCTCTCTCCTCTGAAACTATGCCACTGAACTAGTGAATAGCTTCCTATTAGTACTTTGAAGTAGATTTCATTCCCTATGATATTAAAAGTAATGCTTCTCCAATTGTGATTTGTGAGTGTGGAAATAGAGATCGCCTTTTTCCTTCGCGTCATTCTTGATGATACAAAAACTATAATAATGAAGTGCTTTGGCTCTGTTTGTTTGCAGTGCAAATCCAAACCCAATGCAAAATATAGAACCAGTTCATATTTGCCACGTGTGTTTGTTTGTAACTATGATATGGTTGTATGGACTCCTACTTAGGCTATATTTGGTTTGAAGAAAAAGGTAGAGAAATGAAGTGAAAGACAGGGAAACTGATACAAGGTTTATAAGGGTTTTCTTTATCTTTCCCTTCCTTTTTCTATATTTTCTTTCAAACCAAACATAGCCTTATAAAAGAAAAAATTTCACCTTTTGTCTCATTGTACTCGTGAACAATGCAAATTTTGCATCCCAATAAAAGATGCAAATTGCACCACCTTTTTCCTACCATAGCATTCTCTCTCTCTCGTGTAAAGTTGGGGTGAGGTGATTATGGACCGGGCTGAGCCAGGTTTTGCACCAAGTCATTAATTATACTCTTAATGCAGACCGAGATCTTGTAATTGGGTCGGTTTGGTTTGGATCTGTCAGGTCTGCCTGACCATTTGATAGCCCTGTCACTATGTCCAATTTTATTCCTCCCAAACACATAAAACAAAGTAAAACTTGGAAAAAGATGCATGTTTACCGTATAAAAGAAAACAAAGGAAACGAGGCAAGCCAGATTCAATTTCCATTTTCACTCAACCCATTTTCACTCCCGTACATTTGCAGCAATTTGCAGTTCAAACAAACAAGTCTTTATCAAAAAAAATTGAATGATCATTCATATGCACCAACAACTGCATATAAAAACAAAGGGAAGATAGAACTCTTT